GGCCTTGCCCCCTCGCCCCAGCTGCTTGGGCTCAGGACGTTGTTGCTTTTCCGGGAACCAGAAAGCGAAAGTGAAAACCGCAGCAAAGCACCGGGGCAGGGCGGGCTCCAGCACGGAGGGAACCACCCGGGCAGAGGCACCGTCTCCACGCCCAGGACCACGGCAATCCCGGCCGCCGTCCAGCACCTCCGTGCGCCTCTGGCTCGCGCCCCGGTGCTGCGCTGTGGAGCAGGGAGCCGGAGCCGGGCTGCAGCGGCCGTGCTTGCAAAGGCGAGACACGGAGGTGAGAACGGGTCTTGGGGGGGGCTGCGCGGAGGGGAGCTCAGGCACGGGGCATGGACGTCTGATATAATTTATTAGACCAAATGAAATTAATAAACCCGCTGAAGACCGATTCAGGCTCAACATTAGGAAAAACTCCTTCGCCGTCAGGGTGTCCAGACTGGAATAAGCTTGGAAATCTCCAAGAGGAGACGGGACGGTCGCCTCGCTGGGGTCAGCGGACCCCATTATCTTCCCTGCCTGGTGCCTGGTGCAGGGGGCTGGACCCCATGATCTTCCCAGGTCCCGTCCAGCCCCTGACAACCTACCAATCCATGAAAATAGTTGGAACAATTCTTCTTTGCAAGCTTTCAGCTACAGACACCCCTCTTCAGGCAGAGGGAGCATCTGCAGGTCTAATAAAAGATACCAGATTTACCCAAAGAGCCTTGTCTGCCTGTGTCCCTGGACCAACACGGCTGCAACCAGCACCTCTGGCCCCTCTCGGTGCTCCAGTCTCTGCCCCTCTCGGGTCCTGCTTTGAGATGTAAATGCAGCCCCTGCTTTCCTAGCTCGCACCAGCCCACCCTCCCAGGCATCCCCAGAATCAGTCCCAGGGCCCGCACTTGTGATGACTGCGCCGGGTCTTTGCCAGCAAGGGGGAACGCTAAAGGGAGATGTAAGAGACGGCCAGGACCCTGAGACCCACCGCAGGAAAGGCAGCCACGTCCCAGCACCCTCAGAGGAGAGGAGCATAGAGCACGTGGCCACTGGGTGTCCTCCACAGGCCACCCCAGTGAGACCAGGGAGACAAGGCACATCATATTCAGCTTGGACCCTGCCGTGCCATCTCCCAGTGGCATCCACGTCCTGTGGGCTGGCAAGAGGTACCTCAGCCCAAAGGACACCATCTCTGCCGTGTTCCCTCAGGCACTCCTGCAACCTCCTCCCCAGTAGCCCAGCCTATGGAGGGGACCCGTTACTAGACCTTAAGGCATTTTAGGCACCGCCGTGCAGCCGGGGGAGGGCGCGGGGAGCTGCGGCGGGAAGGGGCAGTAATGCAAGTCAAACACTGCGTGTGCTTCTGCAGGGCTGCGCTGGAAAGCTGCTCGGGGCTGAAGCGTGCAGACGGTGTCCATGCAGAGATGAGCTCCCGGGAAGTCATCATGTGCGGCAAGGAAGAAAACCAAAGGAAATGCCACATTTCTGAACAAGATTGGAAAAGTCACGTCCCCCTGACTGAGGACAAGGCGAGAATCGCAGAAGCAGCGAGGCAGAGCGCGCTGGAGATCCTGAGAGACGCCGTGAAGAAGAAGGACCGTGTGCTCATGGAGACGCCCCGGGACCTGATTTCCTGCGACTCTGCAGAGCCCTCGTTCTGGATGGAGCGGTACGCTGTCCTGAAGGAGAAGCGGGTGAGAGACCTCATCTCGGTGCTGGAGGAAGCCAAGTTCATGGGGGACCCTTCTGCACAGCAGTTGTACGCATATGTTTATTCAAAATCTGTAGACAAAACCATTTATTTGTGCCCGCTCTTCTGGGAGGCTCCGAGTCACCTTGCCAGAGGTTCCCAGCCAGGGCTTTTAATCCGTGAGGCCTCGCACTTCCTGGGCGCTCGTTACATTGCTGAGGAGCCAGACAGCATCGATGTTGCCTGCAAGGGGCTGCTGGTGAAAAACAACTCGACAGATCCAGATAGTCCAAAATTTCTTCCTCTGGTGAATGCAGTGTTAAATGCCAACAACATCGAGTATGAGTTCGAAGTGACCCTGCGGCACCGGGGAGACTACGAGCAGGGCAGATACTCCTGCTGCGGGGAGCCGGCGAGGAGCTCCGTCTGCGAGAGCGCCGTGCCTGACAAGTTCTTTGCTTCTCCGAGCAACCAGAGGCGAGTAATGTTCGTCCCCAGGGGACGCGCTCTAGGGGAGGTTTCCTTGGGAGACCCAGCGCCTGCAGGCCCCAGCGCCCTTGCAGGATGTGCCCTCTTCTTTCCATGTCAGGGACCTGTCTAAGAGGGGATGCGCTCAGCTCAAACACCAGGCAGCACCAGCCCCAGGCCACGGCCGCCCCTTCCCCACCACTATCACATCTGGGCCAGACGCAGGGCAGATATTGGCATCAGCCTCCAGGCACGTCTCTCCCATGACTTCTTTGATTCTATGAGCCAGTGACGTGCACCCCAGCCCTGGCCCCGGCCCAGCGTAGTTTTCCCCTGGGCGTGAGGAGGATGGGCATGTCCACACACTCAGGTATGGGAGATGGGCACACTATTGTAGAGGGAAACCCCCCCTGTGGGTTCAGGACAGGGCAGGACTCATGGCCTGGGGGTGGGCAGGACCCCCCCTCTGTGGGGCACACTGCCGCTATCTCCTTGGGGGACTTTCCCCATCCTGCCGCATGTGTCCCCGGCCCTTAGAAGAGACAGGCTGTCCGGGCCCATCGTCCCACCACCGATCCGCTCCAGCCTGGCCGTGCCCGTGCGCTTAAGCCGAGCTTAGGGTGGCGACCCAAGGACACCCTCGGGCAATGAGGACGCAGCTCCTGTGCAAGGCGCTGGGTGCACGGTGGGATCAGAGGAACATTATGGGACCATACAGGAATCAACACTTTAGACCTATGAAATAATGACCTCTCTTTCTCTCTTCTCATTTAGCATCTCAGCAAGAACGAGCATTCCTGAAATACTGAGGGGGAAGCTGCTGCCGGCCCGGGACAGACTGCAGCGGCACGTAGCAGCGCTTCGGACAATTGCTGACACCGTGGATGCGGCGCACAGAGGAATGAAGAAAGCAAAGATTATTGGAGGCATTTTCGGCATTGTGGGCGGGATCACCACCGTCACAGGGCTCTCCCTTGCCTCCATGACCTTCGAGACATCGCTGGTTTTCTGTTTCATGGGGCTCGGTGTCTCCTTGGCAGGTGGCCTGACCAGTGCTGCAGCGATCAGCAGCAACATATCACAGAGCCAAGACAAGAAGGAAAAGTTCAACGGGCTCCTGGGCCAGTGCCAGGCTGAGGTGCAGCGAATTAAGCAGTACATGGAGTACATCTCAGTCCGGGTGCAAAGGGCCAAAGAAGCTGTCAACAAGACTGATCGGCTGTTTGCAATCCCACAGATCGGGGCAGCAGCAGGGCGTGCTGCTTTCAATGCTGCAAAGATGGTCAGAGCTGGAGAGCTGCTGGGTAAAGCTGGCCACATCACACAATTAGCGGGAACTCCCACGCGCACCATGACAAACTTCATGCTGTGTCTGGACATCTTCTTTGTAGCCAAGGACTCCATAGAGCTCCTCAAAGGCACCAAATCAGACCTGGCAGCCAAGATCCGAAAGGCAGACGCTGAACTTGAGCAAGTGATTGAGCAAGTCAACAACATGAACAACACGCTGACTGAATGAAGACAAGAGACACTGAAAATCACAGACAAATAATGGGCCCAGATCCATGGGGACAGAGCATCAACCCTCAACCTCATCCTGTGTCACCGGGACCCAAAACCTTCTGTAATTCTGTGCTTATGGCTAGAAAGGCTAATTTACCAGGCCTCAAGTTAAGCCTTAGATTGCTTAGTTACTGCTAGTTTCTGACGAACTTTTCTGCTGTGCAAGTTACAGCAGGTGCCAACAGCGCACTCGCTAAACTTCTAACTTTGCTTTTGACATCGGTCTTCTTGTCCCAGTTACTTTCTTTTCTGATTGATTGAGCCCTTTTATGATTCTGGGCTCAACTCAGGGCAGTATTTTATGAGTGCTGAGAAGTTTGGTTTGGCATTTGGCTTCTGCTCTTGTTGAGAAAACCAGCAAGGGGAGACACCAGATGTGCAAACCTCAGAAACAGCTGCACCAAGCTCGCTGAAATCTTGGTTGTTTTGTTGAGCCCATCAGGAGCCAGGGACACCGGCATCACCCACTCAATTCTCTCCTGCATCGCACACCATGAAGGGCCACCGAAGCCCCTACAAAAGCCCAGAGTCCAGAGGTCGCAGTTGTACAGAATATCTCAGCCCTCAAAACTGGAAGCACTGGCCGGGGCAGAGAATGGAGAGACCACGGTGCCACAAACACCCATGTTCCTTGCAACAGCAGAGCAGGAAACTGGTCTGGGGGGACACAACCCAGGAAGCCCAGCAGATGAGCAGCACTCCACACTGCAGAGAAGGGTGAGAAACTGCCGAGATCCTTGGTAGCCCATCCTGGGGAAGTCTCCATCCCCACGGGGCAGTCAGAATGACTCAGAGCTCCTATGGCAATTTGCCTGGGGCACACAAGACCGGGGGCATCTGAACTGCAAGGCCTCTGGGCTTGAGGATTGCACATAGGAAGCCGGCTGTGGGCTTGGGAGTATCTGCAATGCAAGAGTGATGAGTCTGGGAGGGAGGAGACGTGCCGGTGGTAGCACCACGCAGACCTGAACCACTGAGCTCTGCTCTGAGCTTTGCCCAGACGCATGCACGGACAGGGGCAGCTCTGCTCCGTGGATGGAACTGATTTGGCTAACTTGACCTGAGACATGAAATTACAGGAAAAATAGCCAGTGCATGAGACCCGCAGGGTTACCTGTCTGCTCTGTGTTCCCGAGGGAACCCTGGCACCCAGCTTGCTGGACTTACAAAGGACTTCTTTTATCTCCCCCCCTCCACCCCCCGACACGCCCCTCATTTAACCAGGGCTAAGCAGAAAAATGGTTAATAGGCATCTTGGGCCATACAGTCCCTGGTCCCGCTATGGGAGGCTTATTTAACTTGATTGGCTAAAACCCGGTTGCCTGGTTCGGGAATGCTGAGGCAAGAGACCAAGTCCGAGGGGGGACGGGCAACATTTAACAATGGTTCAGGGTTCATCACGGCGTCCAGCCCGTTGGAGCCCTGACGACGAATACTGTCATACTTTTCCCGGGATGACTGGTGGAAGTCCTCCTGCAGCGTTTATGAACACCCCAAGTAATCAATCCCCTTAAGTCTGTTAAAAGACTGCAGTAAGATCTGAAATGCATGCTGAGCTGAGGCTTATTCACAACAGGTAAAATACACAACCGTGATGCTGACTTTCCAGGGCAAGCATAGCTAGGCCACCTGAGAAGCCCTTCCAGTATATCTTCTGTCGTCATCATAATTTCAGGCTGGCTCCTCGGTGTCTGGTTACTCCCTAAAACTTTATGTTTTTCCTGGTTGTTCATCAGTTTCTTGAGATGATCCAAACTAGTTAACCCCTTGTCACTGAAGAAGGTAATTCATTCAAATTGAAACTGTTTCTATAACAGGATCTTCCCTGTCAATGATGGCCTGAGTTCCTCTTAATTGACACAATTAAAAAAAATGCTTTAAAGAGGCTGGACTAAGGGTATAAGAAAGGTGTAAAGCAGCAAACAGTGTGCGAAAGACTGGGACGTGCCGAGTTTGGGACACAAGCGGATCAGCTTGTACATGCTCATGGACCCAGCTTAACTCAGACGTGCCCTAATAAACTGAATGCTGGCCCATGAGGGTGTCAGCTGGACTTTAGGGCTGTGCGAGGCTTTGGACTGTGCTTCGGATCCGGAGAAGCTTCGTGCGCCTCTGGCTCGCGCCCCGGTGCTGCGCTGTGGAGCAGAGCGCCGGAGCCGGGCTGCAGCGGTCGTGCTTGCAAAGGCGAGACACGGAGGTGAGAATGGGTCTTGCGGGGGGCTGCCGGGAGGGGAGGGGAGAGAAGCTCAGGCACAGGGCATGGAAGTCTGATATAATTTATTAGACCAAATGAAATTAATAAACCCGCTGAAGACCAATTCAGGCTCAACATTAGGAAAAACTCCTTCGCAGTCAGGGTGTCCAGACTGGAATAAGCTCCCTGCAGAGCTGGTGCAGTCACCGACATGGAAATCTCCAAGAGGAGACGGGACGGTTGCCTCGCTGGGGTCAGCGGACCCCATTATCTTCCCTGCCTGGTGCAGGGGGCTGGACCCCATGATCTTCCCAGGTCCCTTCTGTGGCAGAAAAGCCACCGTCTGGGTCTCTCTCTAGAGACCTGTCCCAGTCAGCTTGGGACACTGGGGTCGAATTCCTGAGGGAGAGGGGATTTCCCTCCCTGACTACATGACAAAAGCCTGGTACCGAGGGGGGGGGCCCTCTGGTCCCCTGAGTGGGGGATGGAAAATCCCCTGCTCCTCAGCCCAGGTAACCAGTGATGCTTTTTAAACTGGTTAGCTAGTGGCCAACACTGCTGGCTTCTCTTGGACTGGGCTGCTGAGGTCAGAAAGGCGATATAAGAGCCTGGTCCAAGAAGGAGGAGAGAAGCCATTGTACCAGCATGGCACAAGCATCAGGACACAGGGAGAGAGTCTGATCCAACCGAAACGCTCTCTCTCTGGAAATCTCCAAGCCAGATCTCTACCGTCTTCTGAATGATACTCATAAGTGTTTCTAGAGAGCTAGCAGCTCCCAGTGATGCATTTGCGTATCAAACGGATACCTCGGTCAGACTGCTTTGCTCAGTGGTAATCCCTTGATAGTGCTCTACCTCTTACCCTATTCTACCCCTACTCTTTGTAACTAATACAGTTCTCCTTTGTGACCGGTGTGGGAGACTTATTGAGGGGTGGGTTTAATTATGCCTAGGAGGCCCCTTGGGTCTGCGGACTAAGGGAGACTATCCTTTTTGGCCCCCGACTTGGGGAGGAGCCCCAAGTGCTTGGATTGGGTTGAGTACCTGTAGGACTATTAGGCCTGTGTTTTCCCAAGGGCAGAGAACCTAGAAGGTCCCCTCTCGGGGTGGTGGCAGCACGTTAACCCCGGACTCTGCGGTGGGGCTCGAAAGGGGGTCTGCCAGGGCTGAGGCACCCCTGGGGAGTCTCGTGGAGTCCGGCAGGTGGATGGGCGTGGGGAGGTGGGAGGCTCGACACAGGAGCTGCCCCTACTGGTCTGCCACGCCTTCCCGCCCCTGACAATCTCTTTGCAAGCTTTCAGCTACAGACACCCCTCTTCAGGCAGAGGGAGCATCTGCAGGTCTAATAAAAGATACCAGATTTACCCAAAGAGCCTTGTCTGCCTGTGTCCTTGGACCAACACGGCTGCAACCAGCACCTCTGGCCCCTCTCGGTGCTCCAGTCTCTGCCCCTCTCGGGTCCTGCTTCGAGATGTAAATGCAGCCCCTGCTTTCCTAGCTCGCACCAGCCCACCCTCCCAGGCATCCCCAGAATCAGTCCCAGGGCCCGCACTTGTGATGACTGCGCCGGGTCCTTGCCAGCAAGGGGGAATGCTAAAGGGAGATGTAAGAGATGGGCAGGAGGCTGAGACCCACCACAGGAAAGGCAGCCACGTCCCAGCACCCTCAGTGGGGAGGAGGGCAGAGCACGTGGCCCCTGGGTGTCCTCTGCTGCCTGCTAAGGAGACCCGTTACTAGACCTTAAGGCATTTTAGGTGCCGCCGTGCAGCCGGGGGAGGGCGCGGGGAGCTGCGGCGGGAAGGGGCAGTAATGCAAGTCAAACGCTGCGTGTGCTTCTGCAGGGCTGCGCTGGAAACCTGCTCGGGGCTGAAGCGTGCAGGCGGCGTCCACATAGGGATGAGCTCCTGGGAAGCCATCGTGTGCGGCAAGGAAGAAAACCAAAGGAAATGCCACACTTTTAAAAGAGGTGGCAAAACATACAAGTCACTCCCCAAAGGCAAGACAAGAATCGCAGAAGCAGCGAGGCAGAGCGCGGTGGGCATCCTGAGAGACGCCCTGAAGAAGAAGGACCGTGTGCTCATGGAGACGCCTCGGGACCTGATTTCCTGCGACTCCGAACAGCCCCAGTTCTGGATGGAGCGGTTCGCTGTCGTGACAGAGAAGCGGGTGAGAGACCTCATCTCAGTGCTGGAGGAAGTCAAGTTCATGGAGGATCTTTCCAAGAAGAACATATATGCATATGTTAAACCAAAATCTGGAGACAAAACCATTTATTTGGGCCCACTCTTCTGGGAGGCTCCGAGTCACCTCGATAAAGATTCCCAGCCGGGGACTTTAATCCACGAGGCCTCGCACTTCCTGGGCACGTGCGACATCACCTACGAGCCATTTAGCTTCTATGTTACCTGCAGGGGAGTGATGGTGAAAAACAACTCGACAGACCCAGATAGTCCAAAATTTCTTCCTCTGGTGACTGCGGTGCTAAATGCCAACAACATCGAGTACGAGTTTGAAGTGACCCTGCGGCACCGGGGAGACTACGAGCAGGGCAGATACTCCTGCTGCGGGGAGGCGGCGAGGAGCTCCGTCTGCGAGAGCGCCGTGGCCAACGACTTCTTCACTTCTCCGAGCAACCAGAGGTGAGTAATGTTCGTCCCCAGGGGACGCGCTCTAGGGGAGGTTTCCTTGGGAGACCCAGTGCCTGCAGGCCCCAGCGCCCTTGCAGGATGTGCCCTCTTCTTTCCATGTCAGGGACCTGTCTAAGAGGGGATGCGCTCAGCTCAAACACCAGGCAGCACCAGCCCCAGGCCACGGCCGCCCCTTCCCCACCACTATCACATCTGGGCCAGACGCAGGTCAGATATTGGCATCAGCCTCCAGGCACGTCTCTCCCATGACTTCTTTGATTCTATGAGCCAGTGACGTGCACCCCAGCCCTGGCCCCGGCCCAGCGTAGTTTTCCCCTGGCGTGAGGAGGATGGGCATGTCCACACACTTGGGTACGGGGGATGGACACACTATTGTAGGGTGAACCCCGCTCCCCAGGTTCAGGACAGGGCAGGGCTCATGGCCTGGAGGGCACAGGACCCCCGCACTGTGGGGCATGCTGCCGCTATCTCCTCGGGGCCTTCCCCCACCCTGCCGCATGTGTCCCCGGCCCTTAGAGGAGACAGGCTGTCCGGGCCCATCGTCCCACCACCGCTCCGCTCCAGCCTGGCCGTGCCCGTGCGCCTAAGCTGAGCTTAGGGTGGTGACCCAAGGACACCCTTGGGCAACGAGGATGCAGCTCCCGTGCAAGGTGCTGGGTGCACGGTAGGATCAGAAAAACATTATGGGATCATAGAGGAGCCAACACTTTTGACCTGTGAAATATTGACCCCTTTTCTCTCTTCTTCCTTAGAGAATTAGAAAGGATGAGCATTCCTGAAATACTGAGGGGGAAGCTGCTGCCGGCCCGGGACAGACTGCAGCGGCACGTAGCAGCGCTTCGGACAATTGCTGACACCGTGGATGCGGCGCACAGAGGAATGAAGAAAGCAAAGATTATTGGAGGCATTTTCGGCATTGTGGGCGGGATCACTACCTTTGCAGGGCTCTCCCTCGCCTCCGTGACCTTCGGGACATCGCTGGTTTTCACGGGGCTCGGTGTCTCCTTGGCAGGTGGCCTGACCGGCGCAGCAGCGACCAGAAGCAACATATCGCAGAGCCAAGACAAGAAGGAAGAGTTCAACGGGCTCCTGGACCAGTGCCAGGCTGAGGTGCAGCAAATCAAGCAGTACATGGAGTACGTCTCAGTCCGGGTGCAAAGGGCCAAAGAAGCTGTCAACAAGACTGATCGGCTGTTTGCAATCCCACAGATCGGGGCAGCAGCAGGGCGTGTTATGGAGATGGTCAAAGCTGGAGAGCTGCTGGGTAAAGCCAGCCACATCACACAATTAGCAGGAACTGCCACACGCACCATGACAGGTGTCACACTGTGCCTGGATGTCTTCTTTGTAGCCAAGAATGCCATAGAGCTCCTGAAAGGCACCAAAACAGACCTGGCAGCCAAGATCCGAGAGGCCGTCACTAAACTTGAGCAAGTGATTGAGCAAGTCAACAACATGAACAAGACGCTGACTGAATGAAGACAAGAGATGCTGACAATCACAGACAAATAACGGGCCCAAAACCACGAGGGGCAGCGATTCAACCCTCAACCTCAGCCCATCTCAACAGGGCCCAAGACCTTCTGTGATCCTGTGCTCATGGCTAGAAAGGCTAATGTATCAGGCCTCAAATTAAGCCTTAGATTGCTTAGTTACTGCTAGTGTCTGATGAACTTTTCTGCTGTGCAAATTACAGCAGGTGCCAACAGCGCACTCGCTAAACTTCTAACTTTGCTTTTGACATCGGTCTTCTTGTCCCAGTTACTTTCTTTTCTGATTGATTGAGCCCTTTT